TTGACCAACAAATGGCTCAAAGTAACAATGTTAATTCGTCTTCTCAGCCACATGATCAAGAAATATAAGTTCAACTTGTGAAAATTATCGTACTATGATTAAAACTAGTACACTACAATTTATGCTCAATTTTTTTTAAATTAAATTAAAGCTAGATGAAACAATTATTTTGAGAGGAGAATAAATATCTTTGTAATAATTTATTATGCGATTTTATAATTTTTTATTTGATAAGATTGAAAATTAATTGAGCCTATTTTAATAATTTTACAACTTATGAGATTTTTGTGTTTATGAAAAAATATACAACACAAATTTCATATCGCATGTCCAAACAAAACTTCAATTTCATCTTATGATTACATACCATGATACCATATCGCATAACTAAACGAGCCCTTTTAAGTATCTTTAATTCAAAATTATTATTTTTAATATCTTGTCAAATTAAAACAAAATAATTAAATTAAAAACAGAGGGTAGTTTGCCCGTTGCTGCTCTAGTTGTGGTACCTGCTGAATCCCCAAAAGTTGTGATGCTACATGCATTGTTTTGGCCCGGTGGTTAATCAAGTTGAAATTTTGAGGTATAAAATTTAAATTCGAATATTGATAAAAATTTAAGTAATTTCTTAGCTTTGATGATTAGAGTTATCTTATAATTGTTGATGGTAATGCATATATCTCGTGAAATTAATTAAAATGTGTAATGTGTGAGATATGGAAACACCAAAAGACAAAATAAAATTCTAATGCTATAAGACATCCTAATAGAATAAAATAAGACTTTGAAAAAATGTGACATTTTTTCGTGAACAAACTTAAGTATGCCATATAAATTGAGATACAAAAATAATTATTTTGTGAAAATATAGATGAGTGGTGAGATAATGGAACTTCTTTTATGTGTTGTACTAAATTCTAAGTCTTGATCTAGATATGTTGTACATTTAATCCTTCCAATAATAGGTCTAAATCATTTAAATTCAAACCTCTATTAAATACAAACAAATAAACTCTAATTAGACATGAATATAACTAAACAAATGTGACTATATATATGCAAAATATAAATATAGTGGACCTCATTAGTATACTTGGATTAAACTTTGAAATCCTATAGAACATTAGCTCCCCCTCGAGTGGCAAGAATAATATGTCGGGTAGATAGGATTTAGTTTTTTTGTCTCCTACCTACAATATAGGAATGTGATTTTATATCTCCATATTAAATCATGAGATAAAATTAGCATTTGAAATCTTAATTTTAAAAAAATTATAATTTGAGACATTTTAAGTATAAAAATGATCTACAAATCTATATTTTGTGAAAAAAGAAAAAAAAATTCATCACTTATATTTCTTAACCATTTATTTCATATGTAAAAAAAATATATTCATATCATTACTTTTTAAGTCATTTATATTGAACAACAATTATTCTCATCTACACAAAATTGTGTATTACTTCAAATCAATTTCTACATTAGTATTCCTATTCACAAAATTCATTATTTTTTATAAAATGTATTTACCAACCAATGTTCAATTTTTAATTTTTTTTATTGAATAAAAGTTTGATCAATAAATGTTGTAATTTTTTAGAATGGCTTTATGATAGTGTATTCTGCTATTTTAAGTTTTTGCTTATTTAGTAAGATAGTCTAAAAACTTGAGACAATTTTAATAATTTTACAATTTATGAAGTTTTTTTTATGTTTATGAAAAAGAAATATATAATATTAAAATTCAAATTACATGTTCAAAAAAGTTTTTTTACTTTATCTCATGATTTTATATTATAATTTCGTATCATGATTTCAGATCGCATGCCCATACAGACCCTAATATATATTAATAATAATGAATTAGGGGAAGGAGAAAAGAACAATAACGATCAAGAAATTCAAAATTGACTTTAATTTTAGGCTTTCAATACTATATAATAATTAGAATATAAGTTATGAAAATGAAATGGTGTATTATATTCAATATGGTTTTTAAAACAAAATAATTAAGAAAATAATAGTACTTTAAATAGATTGTTGTATTATTTTTATGGAAAATCGACATCATTAGGCATCTTTCAATACCATAGATATATTTTTAAAAGGCAAAAGAGTGAAAAATATTCTTAAATTATGAGAAAGGAATAAAATTGCTTTCTATCTATAGTTTGACTTAAAAATGTTATTGTCCTCAATATTTTAATTCAAAAATATCATTGTAGTTAATACATTGTCCAAAAAATCATTGTCCTCAATATTTTGATTCAAAAATATCATTATAGTCAATACATTGTTCAAAAATCCTCATATAGTTACTAAATGAGTCAAAAATATCCTTTTTTGAATAAAAATATTGTTTTTTTTCTTTTAAAACATATTTCCTTCCTAACTAACATATTATTACAGAACATTGTTTTTGTTTTCTTTCTTTCAAAATCACTTTAACAAATAAACATGTAGGCATATATTTTTTTTCTTCTTAATCTCATTTTATCAATAATTAAAATAGAATAAATTTATGTACCCTTTCGACATATAATATATGATCAGGGTATATCCATCATAAAAATAATTATAATAAAATATAAGAAAAATTCATTTCTTATTTTTTTTTGAATTGAAGTAAGATAAGTATTTGTAAATTTAAAAAGTAGTAACAGAAAAAGAATGTATTAAAAAAGGAAATAAACAATATATTCATTTAGAAAATGAGCATTTTTGACCCATCAAATAACAATAAGATGCTTTTGTACCAAAGTATTGATTGCAAGGCTTTTTTGGATCAAACTACAAATGGGAGGTCATTTTTGTTTCTTTTGTATAGTTTAAGACATTTTTCTCTTTTCCCTTTTTAAAATATTATGTATCATTACTACTAATTGATTTTCTACATATCCACATTTAAAATACATGTATTTTTCCTATTAAATATACAAAACAGAGAGAGACGGGTGAGATTCGTGTATCCAGATATACGTGAACCACACTAGATTGTATGTATCATTCGCATGTATCTGGGTACCATATACACGAGAGAGTGATAAGCGAGATGGGAGAGAGGCGAGAAATGGTTGTTATTTATCTAAGATACACAAAAATTCACTTGGATATGATATATCTAAAATAAGTTGCACCTAAATTTTATCTCACGTATCTGAGATACATATACATAAAGATATCTAGAGACACCAAATTTGATAAAATATATAATATTATAGACTAGAATATATCTAAATAATTAAATCTTAATTAAAACAGAGAATTTATGCAAATTCTCCTATTTTTTTATTGTCACGAAACAGAGAGAGAAAACCTCAAAAAGACAAGTACATAGGAAAGCTCAAGGAAGTGAGCATTATCTTGTTTGTATGCAACTTGTTGCATAATGGCCTAAAAATTATGAAGGTTTGAAAGTGAAAGAATCATATAGTATAGTTATAGATACAAAATTGAGTAATTAAATAAATAGATTCTTTTAAATATTAAAAGTAAAATAAACAAATTAAAAAGAAGTCAAGGAAAAAAATAAATATAAATAAAAGTCATATCACCTTATCTTTTTATATTGAGTAATTTTTCTAAATAGTCAGTCACCCATGTTTAGAAAATTACCTAATAATATCATTTATATTTGTTTTAAGACTACAATATCACCCAAATCTGCCTATTTTCCTTAAAATATACTTGACACAAAAAATACATTAAATCTCTCCTAGTAGGGTGTCATTTCACATTTTTTAATTTATTATTAATACTTTTCTAATTCTTTTAAAGAATCGGAGGAACCCACATATTTTCTTGAAGAATCGGAGGAGCTCATATTACAGTTGTTAATGTAATTTTTTCTACTGGGTATAATATGTGGGTTTGTCTATTTTTTTTTAAACAAATCTATATATATATAATAGGAGAAGTAAAAAGTGTCAAATGTCAGCACCACAAATATTCAAGAATTTGTCTATTTTTTTTAAACAAATCTATATATATATAATAGGAGAAGTAAAAAGTGTCAAATGTCAGCACCACAAATATTCAAGAATTTTTATTTTTCAAATATCATTTTAAATATGCTCTAAAAATACAATTAATAGAACATGAATTTTAATATAGATATCTTAAATAGAAAATGAAAGTTCTTTTGTTAAAAAAACTTTAACTACAAAAAATGAATGATTTTTAAGTGTCTCTAATTTCAATTTCAAAGGGAAAAAATGAAATTGAACTTTTTTTTATAAAACAGTAATGGCTTTTACTGGAAAAAAAAAATGAAAGACCTTTAAATGCTTTAAATTTCAATTTTTAAGGTTAAAAAATGAAAAATTAATATTGAATTATTTTATAAAAAAAAACTGTAATGTCTATTTATATTTATCACACTTTCAGCGATTTTAGGAAATGCTTCCACAAAATTGAATATAGAAATATCTATCTAAATAGGAAAATAAAAAGTGCATCATAAAAAAACTATAATTATTATTTAAAAATTAATTAAAAAACTTATAGTAAAAATAATAATATCATTAAAAAAACTTATTTTTAAAAAATAGTTAAAACAGCCCATTAGTAGTTAGTTGTAGAAATGAAGTATTTTTTTTCATTCATTTTTAAAAATTATCTTTATATATCTAAAAAATAAAACATTTTCAAAAAACATAAATAGAAAATAATATTTTTATAAAAAAAGTGTATTACAACCTAACGTTTAAATAGGTTTAAAGCATAAGTTTTTTAATAATAAAGAAATAAATAATGTGACATGACATCCTAATAGAAGAAAGATAATGTATTTTTTATATCAAGATAGTTTAAAAAAATAGATAAAATTAAGTCATATTATAATTCAAAAACAAAACATAAGTGATATTCTAGATAATTTTTCAAACATGAGATTGAATATCTAGGAAAATTACACTTTTATATTTAGTATATCACGAATATATACTTGTCATATAATTAATATATAGTTGGGCTGTGCACGGCCACTACTTAGTGTGCAACTTTGAATCTTTTGACTAAACAAGAATACTCAGTCATCATCACCATAGCCAACCTATCCAATTTAAAAGGACGAGAAAATCAAACGTTCGCTCATCACATATATTATATTTTAAACTCTCAAACTCATCATCTTCTCTTGTGGTAAAAGTCCAAAGGGAGAGAGAATGGTGGTGGAGAGAGATATCGATCATCTTCCAAAGAATGCGGCGAACTACACAGCTCTCACGCCCTTATCCTTCTTGGAAAGGGCCGCCATGATTTATCCTAACAGAAAATCATTAATTCATGGCTCTGTTCAATACACATGGCTTCAGACTTATCGCCGTTGCTCTCAACTGGCTTCTGCTCTTACCAAACGCTCCATCACTTTCGGAACCACCGTATGTTCTAAACACTCTCTATATAATTTCTGCATTAACCTCTGCGCTTAAGGTTTTGGTGTTACTGTGTAAATATGCTTTTGCAATAAATTTGCTATATATGAACAATATTATTATTTTTTTAAGAGTCGGAGCAACATAGGCTAGATCTAATTATTCCATGTACTGTCTGTTAAATTATTAGACAGACTATCAGTTAGCATAGTATTTCATTGACTAAAATAACTTTCTTCTGTATCCGATATAATCCCTGGAAATCGGATACAGATGAGATACTTGTAGTTAGTCATATAGGATTTGATTCCAAAGACTAGATTCTTTGCCTTGCTGGTATTGATTTATTGATCTATATAGCAGTTCTGATACTATGTTTCCCAATATGGATAAGGGCAATTCTTGTAAAATTGATGAATGTAGCCAATTGCATTAGACATGAGTTGGTGACTTGGTGTGAGTCTCAAGACACATTTTGTGTTCCTCTACAGTGCTTTCCCCTGGTTGCAGGATCCATCCAAAATTGATGTGTATGTCTTTACTTGTTCTAAGTTTTCTTCAAACCCTTGTTTGGTAGTTCTGAAATTTGAAATTAGCTCTTCTGTTGCATTAAGCTAACCTTGATACCACAGCATGCTCATGTTCAAGTTATGTCTATTGCTAAATGAGAATTTGGCATTTCAATCAAGTGTTTCAACTTGAATGGTTTAGAGCAAGCAGTTTTATATCTTCACTCTAAACTCTCACTTCCACTCTTTATGGATCACCAAACTAATACAGATTGACCATATAAGTTAATTCCTCCTTGGAGATCAGAAAGGAAAACGTTTTAATAAAGGTAATAAATAAGCTAGCAAGGATCCTTGGCTGTTGGACATTATGCATACAATAACATAAACAATGTACAAATTCTACAAACTAAGCTCACACTGTCCCATGTCCTTGTGGAGCAAATGAGTCGGTGGAGGCAGATTGGCCTATAGTTTGGGCATTACAGAATGGTGTTTGATCTTTTGACATATATCTAGTAGGTTCATTACATGGTTTTGTGCTTTGCATTTCTCTAAGCTCATTCTCTCCGTAGAGGTTCTGTTAGGAAGCCCATAAATTCCAAGAATTCTTTCAGATTGTTTACATAATCTGTTTTACACTATAAAGCTAATCAAGCTAAACCTATTCTGTTCAAAGAAGAGGGGTAGAATTAATTGAAAAAATTGTAGTTCGGAGATAGATGCTCATGTTTTGAACTGCTTCTTCTCACGATGGACAGAAACCTAAATATTTGTAAATGTTGTGTTGCCTTTCTCTGTTTGTTTCTTCATATGAATTGAAATGACATGATTTAAACTCTCTTATCAGTTCTTATGGATGTACAATGTTATCCCTCTTGATAAATGCAGTTTTCTGGTATCCAAACAGGAACCTTATAAGTCTTTCCCTTTATTGGCTTCATGTCAGGTTGCTGTGATTGCACCAAATGTTCCTGCTATGTATGAAGCTCATTTTGGAATTCCAATGGCTGGAGCTGTTCTAAATGCTGTCAATGTTCGTTTAAATGCAGACACAATTGCTTTTCTTTTGGGCCATTGCTCAGCTGCAGTTGTCATGGTGGACCAAGAATTCTTTCCATTGGCTGAGGAAGCTTTAAAAATTCTAGAAGATAAGAGTCAAGGAAAATCAAATCGACCACTTATTGTAGTTATCGCTGATAAAAATTGTGATCCCGCCCCACTTCAATATGCTTTAGATAAAGGGGCAGTTGAATATGATAATTTCTTGGAAACTGGTGACCCAGACTTCCTATGGAAGCCACCACAGGATGAGTGGCAGAGTATTGCTCTGGGCTATACTTCTGGTACGACAGCTAGTCCTAAAGGAGTGGTGCTTCATCATCGTGGTGCATATCTTATGGCTTTAAGTAACGCCGTTGTTTGGAGTATGAAAGAGGGAGCTGTGTACCTTTGGACTCTACCAATGTTTCACTGTAATGGTTGGTGTTTCACTTGGACACTTGCAGCAATTTGTGGGACCAACATATGCCTTAGACAGGTGATCTCTTGGTCTTTTTCTTGATCATGGAGTTTTCTATGTTATGTTTATGTTACTTATAATAGCATAACGTATCATGATCATGAAATATCGCTGGACATGTGAGTTGACAATGAGATACTGCACTTTGAGCTGACCATTTTGCAATAGAAGTAACAATGAACAGATAGAAGTCATGATTGTCTATTTTCACCCACATTGGCCCACTTATTTAGTTTCCATGAGTATTTTACAAAAGATGCATATCCAACAAAATTATATTGTCTTCTGATCATACAAATGACCAAACAAATATCATCGACATCCTATCGTTCCAACTACGAGAGTTAGAAACAATTATTTAGTGTTTTTTCTTGACATAGGTTAATGGACTAGGAGAATATTAAAGAGAAATATACTATCTTAGCATATACGTTTAACAAAGTAACACCGTGTCTACTTCCTAATTAAAATCTCAGAGATTATTGCACGAGTTGAATCTGAAATTTTTTGAATATACTAAGAGGAGGTGGGACACATACCTTTTTGGTCTATATCTGAAATAAAAGAACAAAAGTAGCTAGAAAAGATAACGGCTTTGAGGCTAGTCAAAATGTTGATGTATTTCTCCCTGCTTCTTGCTTTTGGCTCTTGACAAGGTTGCGTTTTGTTTTTTTGAGTGGTCCATATGCAGGTAACTGCAAAGGCTGTTTATTCCGCCATAGCTCACCTTGGTGTAACCCATTTCTCTGCTGCACCTGTGGTGCTCAATACCATAGTTAATGCTTCAAAAGAGGAGACCATCCTTCCCCTGCCTCGGCTAGTACATGTAAGCACTGCTGGTGCTTCTCCTCCTCCTCCTGTTCTTGCTGCAATGACTCAACGTGGTTTCCGTGTCTTGCACACTTATGGCCTTTCTGAAACTTATGGCCCCTCCACTTTATGCACATGGAAGCCTGAGTGGGATTTACTTCCCACAGATGTTCAAGCGCGTCTCAATGCACGTCAAGGAGTGAGATATGTAAGCCTGGAGCATCTGGATGTAGTTAACCCCACGGACATGACACCTGTTCCAGCCGATGGGAAAACGATGGGAGAAATCGTCTTCAGGGGTAATGTTGTGATGAAAGGCTACCTGAAGAACCCGAAAGCCAATGAAGCTGCTTTTGCAGGAGGCTGGTATCACTCTGGTGATCTTGCTGTAAAACATCCTGATGGGTATATTGAAATAAAAGACAGATCAAAAGATATCATCATATCTGGTGGTGAAAATATTAGTAGTGTTGAGGTCGAGAATATCCTATATCAACACCCAGCAATACTAGAGGTCTCCGTTGTTGCGAGGCCTGATGAGCAATGGGGAGAGTCACCTTGTGCATTCGTGACATTAAAGCCTGCTGTAAAGGAAACAGATCAGCAGCAGGCTGCAGAGGATATTATTAAATTTAGTCGATCAAAGATGCCTAGGTACTGGGTACCAAAGTCGGTGTTTTTCGGACCATTGCCAAAGACAGCTACAGGGAAAATACAGAAGCACTTGTTAAGGACAAAGGCAAAGGAGATGGGACCGTTGAAGAAGAGTAGATTGTAAATGTAACACGATCGACTGGTTGCCTGATTTGTCTTTGTAATTCTAAGACGTCTGCTGTCTATGCATCTCTGTGTATCATGATCTTCCTTGTAGATAAATAAGGTTATGTTTCAGATTTTTCCTAGATAATCATGGAAGGGTACCATGTAAGTTTTTGTTATCATGAACTATTGGTGTTCTTTGTATTTTAAACTGAACGGTAACTATTGGTTTTTAAATGATTCTTATACAACATCTTTGATTGTTTACCTTCTCTGTTTGACAACTTTTTTCTTTGTAACCCTTGAGATTGATAGAACTGCATGCATACTGTTTGTAATTTCTACTTGACTTCTTTCCTGATCTCCCTATCTTATAAGCAGCGGAATTCAAAAGAAAATGCTACAAGTCTAGACGACAGTCTAATTCCACAAGTGGAGTCGAGAAAGTATTATAAGACAAAATTCAACGTAGAATGTAGAGACACCACTATGATTCAGAGGGGTTAGCTCACCTTAGCTAATACAATGGATATTGTTTCGAACTAGATTTTTAGCATCCAGAAGCATGTGGTGCAAGTCTTCAAAAAGATGTGCATGAAAACAAATAATGTTAATTGTATAAGATAAACTATAAATAAGCATGATGTAGGTATAACAGTGCAATGAACATAAATCACCTAGATCAAACTTTTGTAGTCCCTACACAGATAGAAGTGCTCGGCCAAAATTGTAGATACTTTGTAGGTAGAATTGCTTGACCTCTCTCATAGGCCCTCGTTAGTCAAATTACTACGAGCCTGTTTGGATTGACTTAAAAAAAGTAATTTTTCAAAGTGCTGAAAGTTATTTTATAAATAAGTAGTTATGTGTTTGAATAAAAATGTTGCAGTTAAAAAAACAAAATTTTTAACGTGTTTAGAAAATATTAAACACTTTTTTTAATCAAAATTTCTAAAATACCCTCAAATTGAGGAAAAGAGAAATGTTAGGATTTTAATTCCACATGAGCAATTTGGGAATTGTTTTTAAAAATAAGGATAAAAAAGGTAATGTACTTGGTCAAACTAAAATGACTTCTAAGTTTAAAAAATAAAGCAGGATGACCTCTACTTTTAACTTTTGATTTAAAATAAGTCATTTTGACTTAAAATAAGTTATTTTGATAATTGTCAAACACTTTTTTTTTTAATTTCAAGTTAGTTTGACCAACTTAAAAGCCCATCCAAACAGGCACTACACTAAATTCATTCATAGACACTCACGAGCAGGGGCGGATGTACATGGATTGATGAGAGTTCATTCAAACCCCCTTCATTGAAAAAAATTATATTGTATATATAGGATCAATTTTTCGATTTATATGTATAAACTAAGTGATGAACCTCCTAAACATACGCCAAAGGGCTTGGTTCAGTGTAAAGGGGTTCAAGAATTCGCTACCTAAATGCTAGGTTACAGGTCGATTCGATATAACAACGCTTTTTCCCATAGTTTCAACTGATTTTCATTTTTATTTCTACATAAATAAAAAACTTGTTTTGTTTAAAAATCTATTAGTATTTATAATATTAAAAAACAAGTTTTTTTATTTAATTAAGTAAAACGTACAACATTTCTTTTAAGTTTTCATAATTAAAATTTAAAAAAATATTCTCTCATACTCATTTTAAGTCAAACGTTTAATTTATATTTGATTAGGAAATAATATAATTATAAGTAAGATTAAATAAATAAGAGTAGTTATTTAAAATTTATCAATAAATACAATTGTCGCAATATTTTCCAATCTTAATAATATTTCTCGACACAAATTTTATTGCTACAATATGATCGGATTCAAAACTATTCCTTAGTTAGTCTTAGATTAAATAATGTTTATATACAACAATGACACAAATAAGAACCATAATATAGTTTTAAAAAATACATTCTCTCGTACTTATTTTAATGTTATGTCAAACATATACTTACTCGATTTTATTGTTTGGGTTGAGGTGGAGTTGAATTTTTCTTAGTTGCTTCAATCTAATCCGACCCATTTATATTTGACCCGCCCCGCTTATATGGATACTATTAGTGTGCTTACTTATATTTTTGAACCCCCCTCAGTGAAAATCCTGTCTCCGCCACTGCTCACGAGTAGGCAAGGGGTATATAAGAATCGGGTTGGTTTGGATTTTTAAAATAAAAAAATAAATTTTTCATGTTAGGTTTTTAAATTTATAAATTAAATTAATAAATTTTGAATTTTTCAACCTCAGATTTTTTTTGAATTTTTTGGATTTTTCCGATAAGTATTCATATAAACATATAATTAAGTTGTGCTCCAAATATCTCTTTAATCCTATCAAAGTATAACAATCTAAGGTGTTTTCTTAAAAAATCACAAAATATGATATGAGTGATGACACTCAAATATTGAAAAAATAATAATAACGAAATTGCATTAAATAATATTATGCAAATAAATAAGTCAAAATGAAAATAATCATAATTTTGAAGTTCATGTTAAAGAAATAATTAAGACAAATATACATTAAAGATAACTAAAACTTGGTTATGTATTTGATTTATCTAAACATGAGTAAACAGTAAATATTAAATATTATTGTCATTCCTAGTACTAAATTGATTTTTTTTGTTATCATTTGCGATGATTCTTTTGTTTGTTTTGAGTGCTAGAGTTTTTTTATTTCATAAAATACTTTTCGATAGATTTTAAATGGGTATTCTACACTATTTGTAACTATAATTATAAAATTAGTGGGGTAGTTTTAAAAAATTTATTTAGTTTAAAGTTAAAGAAATTACAGTAAAATTAATAGTGGGTCACTTTAACCACTTTATGATTGACCTTGTATAATAATAATGAGTAATTATGTAAAAAGAAATAAGGGTTAAGGGCAGTAATCATACCTGCAACATCACAAAGTGACGACCAACACCAAGTAAAATTTTAAAAGTTTTGATTCATTTGTTAAATAGATTAGCATGCTTTATTATTTATATTGTTGGTCAGTAATAACTGTAATTTTAGTTCTTAAAAGCAAAACAACTAATCATATTTTCTAATTTGGAAAATTGATAATTGTGGATTAAGTTTGTTGGTGGGTAATTAAGAAATAATGATGATTAAGTGGAGGATGATCATTAGCGGTCACAAGATAGATTTTAGAGGTTGGAATTGAGAATTCCTCATATGCACGTGTGTTTATATAATTTATGGTAAATATAACTTAATGCATTGTAGTGAGTTTTCATTATGAAGTTTGACTTAGAGAAAAGTGATTACATTATGATTTAAGAGATTTGATTGTTGAAAAGTTGACAAGTCATTAATTGATGAGGTGTTGGCAGAAAGAAGTTGTCAGGTTCAATTTCGAATGTAAAGTCTGGTTTTTGATGTTGTTGAGGAGTTTATTTCCGTGAAACTTCATGGCAAAAACAAACAATGAGTTGACTTTTAAAATTAACTTAATTATCATACTTAAAAATCAAGTTTTGAAATATTGATTATAGGTAGTTAAATTTAAAGTGTATTATATAATTTGATTATCGTTAAAGTTATGATAATGGGAGGAATAAAGATTTACCCTTAGGGACTTGAACTTTAGGAAATTGATAATAGAACTTGGTGAATTTTTGGGTCTAGGCTAGATATATAATAACATAGTGTCTACAGACTCGTTAACTTACAATTATGCATACTTGATAGATTGAAAAGGTTCGGAGGCATTAAGGAAAGAAAAAGCATTGGAGAAGTAGCTTGTCTGACTTTGATTCTTCGATGGAGGTAGGTTATGGTTTATTCTATTTGATAGATAGACTCTTAATAGTATTTGATATACATTGAATGATATTGTGAAGTTCTCTATGCACTTGATTGTGTGATTGTGTAGCTTGATCGTGTGGTTTATGATTGTTCTGAAATCCTAAGACCGTGGAATTTATATTCTTGAACCCTCTATATTGAATTGATGCCTTGAAAAATAAGGCTTGATGAAATATTGTTAATGATTTGAAAAGTGGCGATAATAAATGATAAATTAATGATATTATTGGATCGGAGTGTCACATTCCGACACGGTATAATTGGATCAGAGTATCACATTTCGACCCAGTATAATTGGATCGGAGTGTCAATTTTGACATGATATAATCGGATCGGGGTGTCACGTTTTGACACATTATAATTGGATCGTAGTGTGACGTTCCAACACGTTATTATTGGATCGGAGTGTCACATTCCGTTATGGTATAATTGGAGTCGGAGTGCCACATTCCGACACGGTAATATTAAAGGAAAAAAGATATTGAATTAATTTAATGTACTCAATCTCAAAGAACCTATTTCCCAAAGGAGCGTGGTGTGGAGGCATGAGTCCCCATTTGTGTGCTTGACATTGTGATAGATTGTGTACTTGCTTTTGTGTTGTTGTCACTGGTTCATGTTGTTTGTTGTTCGCCACCTGCCAAGTGTCATAGTTGATTTTATACTATTATTCATTGTATATTAATTTCTATTTTGGGTTGACCAATGATACCTACTCAGTACATGTTACCCCGTACTGAGTCATACTTGTGTTTTCCTTTGTTTTTCTTTTATGGAGTGCAGTGAGTGTACCAGCGATTTTGACTCGCCCTCAGCTTTAGCCAGTCTCAGCATGTCAGGTTCAAGGTTGAGCTATTCATTCGAGCTTGTGTTGGATTCTCTCGGTCATGATCTGATGTCTTTAGTTTTCGGATACAAATTACTTTATTTAATTCATTTTGGTGTCTTTGATACTCTTCGACTTAGTGTTTGGAGATTGGATGTTTTTGTGTGAAGATTTTCAGATTTTGGGGATAATGTGTAATAAGACTCTAGAGGTTGATTTTGTTGGTTACTTTAATAAGTTTTTAGCTTCCGGATTTTATTATGTTCGTGGTTGAGTTATTAATATATATGGGGTTGCAATTCTTGGTTCGCCCATTTAGGAGGTTAAGTATAGGTGTCACTCACGACTCATTTTAGGTCATTGACAGCATTAGTATTATTTTTATTTTGATTTGTGTTTTTTATGAGTTACTGAAGTTTATGGAATTTTAACATTTATTGAACTATTCCAAATTCTACGTCAAACTTGATATAAGTTATGCATGTTTGAGTAAAACTTCTCTATTTATGGTATCTCACTCATTTTTTTGAAAGATATTTTGATATTTTTCTTTTCCTACTAGCCTAACACGTTTTTCTTAACCCAAATAAGGGTCTAATCAGTTTTAGA